AAGTCAGGAACCGACACCTTGAATGAGAAAAATGACTACTCTCTCCAACATCCCAGTACTATGGCAAAGCTCTATATTACGATCGAGATTTTATTAAATTTTCAAGAAATTAAGATGTGAGAAACTGGGGAAAATGACCATTATAGCGAATCCCCAGGACTCAATTAAAGAAGGGGGAAAAAAAAAAGAGGAGTGCCCAGGACTCCGTGTGCTCCTCATTTTCGCGGCCTTATGCTCAGAATAAGGCGATTTTCCCCACTTTTGCATAATAATTATCAGCAATGAGCCCATTCACTCAAGCAAAGATTCACACGCAGTCGGCCTTCACGCTTGAACCAAGTAACAGGGTGAGAATCAAGCCCTTATGATACAACAATGAAGAAGTTCGAAGTTTGATTGAAACACACACTCGATACTCAATGCGCGCGCCCAACACACAACACCATAAACACAGACACAAGGCGTCATGCCACTCTAACAGCTAGCATCTAACATCTGACATCTAACATCTGACATGTAACATCTAACATCTAACATCTAACATCTAACATCTAACCTGTGATGAGCAACTGTTGCATGCTGTATCGTGCAAGACAGAACAAGAACCGACCTCTCGTACAAAGTACAAATGGCGAAACGGAAGACTTTAGATACCAATGATCCGACACAATCAATGTTGCAATGCAGTCTCGACATACATCATCATCGTACAATGGTGTGAAGGGGCTGGCGCTCACACACAACAGATAGCGCCAGTCCCAGTCATACACAGACGAAGAGGAGGGGAAGAGACAGAGGGGAGGAGAAGATGGGAGATGTCGTCAACGCCAAGTCTGCGCACAGGTCCCAAATAATCCTCATCGAATGTCTGAATCCCGAAGTCAAGTCTGAATCCAATGTCGTCGAGTCTCATGTCAAAGCTCTCTCTCGTAGTCCATAGATACTGAGAAGTAGGCAGCRAGAGGGGAAGAAGAGATGGTGGACTTAGAAGAGGAAGAAGAAGGTCTCTCTCTCTCTCTCAGTCCAGTACTAACCTGTAAAGCTGGCGTCTTGATGCAGGTACGCCGAAGATGGAGCTGGAGCGATGGCGCCACAGGTAAGTACCACTGGCCTCCACCAGTGTCTCTCTTTCCGATACTGCTACCCTATCCCTATAGCGCCCAGCGCTGAAGACTACAGCTATGGCTATGGGCGCCCAGCGCCGAAGACTACTACTAGCGCTACCACTACTGCCTAGCGCTGAAGACTACTGCAGCGCTCCTCCTGAGTGCTGCGGCCGAATCCTGAAGACTACTCGTGCCTCTGACAACTACCTACCTTGAAGTGCATGGGAACTGCCTATGTACTTCTCGGTTGCCTCCTGACTGCAGGCGAGCAGTCCAGGAGGCTGCTCTTGCCAATGCCGAACAGAGGCAGTGGCTGCAGCTGCAGCTCCTGCTCGAGCTGGCGTGGGGAACAGGCTATTGCTGGCCTGTTCCCGAAACCCTGCTTTTGTGCCTGAGTCTTAGGGGCGGTTGAAACAACGAGGGCCTGAAAATGGCCCTCCGTTTCAGGCTGAAAAACCTMTGGGCCTGAAAGGCCCAGAAATAGGCTGAAACGGAATAGGGCCTGCARGCCCTCGTATTTCAGCATTCAGGCTGAAACGACCGGGGCCTGTAAGCCCTAAGTTTTAGGCTTTTAGGCTGAAAGTTCGGGATGGGCCCTGCAGGGCCCATGTGGCTACGCAGTATGCCACACCCCCCCCTCCTTGAAAGACCGAGCTTACCTGCGAGGGCGCAGCTGTCTGTCTGAGGGAGGGACCACAGTCCGGGTGGGAGTGGCAGGTCGTGGAGGTCCCTTGGCTAACCTCTGTCGCTCGTAGTGAGTGTAGATCAGCGGTGCAGATGCTTTCAAATCTGCTCCTGAAATCCACCGAGTGTCATCGGGATCGCATGCTCTGAATGTAACTTTGTACTGGCGCGGCTTGCTGCCGCACTTGCGATCCGAGATGACACGGTCAACCTCCTGATGACCATCCATAGATGGAGGGTCCTGCGATCGTCGGCCCGGGAAGTCGTCGCTCTTAGCTGGTGTATATGTTGCCAGCTTCGACGCGTGAAAGACTGGATGGACCGTCAGATGCTTGGGAATGTTGATCACAAATGAAGGGCCATCGGGCTCACCGCCCGCGGCTGATGTCACCGACCAAGGTCCAAACCACTTGGGAAGCCGTTTGCGTGAAACGTCCTGTTCCAGTGCAAACTCTTCCGCGGAGACCCAAACTAGATCACCTGCGCGGATGGGACATTGCACGCGACGCCTGTTGGCTTGCTGCTGCATGCGGACTTGAGCCTTTTGCATGTTTGCGTGGGCTTGAGCAGGCAATTCCCTGTAATTCCGGACAAAAGCGGGAAAGCAAGCGGCGTCAATGTCGGCTGGTCGAGGGAGGAGAAGGTCGGCGAAGATACGGCCTTTCCGTCCACCATGGTGTAACTCAAATGGAGTCACGCCGATCGCTGGGTGCACCGAAGTGTTGTAGGCGAACTCAATGTCGGGGAGGCGGTCAACCCAATCTTTCTGGTTCGGACGGATGAGCGTACGAAGCATCATTTGAGCGGTCTGATGTGCCCGCTCCGTCTGCCCGTCTGTATGCGGATGCCAAGCCGAACTTGGTTTCATTGTTGTGCCGGACTCCTACATGAGAGCAGTCGAAAATGCCGACATGAAACGAGTGTCGCAGTCGCTGACAATGTCTTCTGGTACACCGTGGCCACAAATCCAACCAGTGTGCAGGAGGCGTGCCAGCTCGGGAGCYGTGGAGTAGTACTTGCAAGGAAGAAAACGCACGTACTTACTCAATCGGTCCACAACCGTGAGGATGCCGTCGTGCCCGAGCTGGTCGCGAGGGAACGGACCGGTGACGTCCATGGCAATGGAGAGACCGGGTTCCCGTGGGATAGGCATCGGGCGTAACTCGCCATAGGGATTGCGGTTGCGGGGTTTGCTTCGTCGGCAAACTTCGCAAGAGTCGCAATACCGAGTGACATCGGTAATGAGGTCAGGCTATCAGAATCGTTGTCGAAGCCGTGCAATAGTGCGGTTGACTCCGAAATGGCCGGCGAGTCGCGAATCATGATACTCGCCGAGGAGGCGAGTCCGAAGACGGCGATCGTGTGGGACACATAACAAGTCCTTGCCTCTCGAGTGGAGGAGCAAGTACCCGTCGACAATGCGCTAGTGGCTGGCCGGCAGGAGATCCGAAGATAGYTGTGCATATAGCGTGGCGAAGTCCGGATCAGACTCGTATGCCCGGATAAAGTGTCGCTGAAGCTCCTCGTCGAATGCGAAGGCATGATGTGTCATAGCGCAAAGATCAGGTCTTCGCGAGAGTGCATCTGCTGAGTGGTTCGAGAGGCCGGGAAGATGTTTCGGTGTGAAGTCAAATTGGTCGAGGTGGCGAGAGGTAGAAGAGGCCCTCAACCCGCTCGTCGAGATCGACCAGTAACCCGGTCTAGATCGAGGGCAGCTCCGCCAGCCATGCCAATGGCAGACGGTAATAGAGTGGTTGTTAGCATCTCCGCTCCCTTTCCCTTTTTTCCTAATCATACCCATCCCGAAGCTTGGTTGGAAGCTGTCGAAGCCCAAGGATACAGCGCGAGGATTCTTCCTCGCGTTCTTACCTTGTTACTTCGCAACACCGCACATGACTGGTTCAGAAAACACATGTGGGTCGATTGGAATGCCTTCAAACAAGCGTTCTTGGCTCGATTCGACACGGTTAGCGAAGATGCCGCCTGGCATGTACTCAAAACCCGACCACAAGGACCAGGTGAGCTATTGCCCGACTTCGTAGATCGATTTCAAACCACTTTGGACAAATCTTGGCGAGATGAGAAATCCGCCCGGGATCTGTTTATCGATCATCTGCGAAGTCCGACGTTGAAAGGGAAGTTACAGAAAAAGGTTCCWCCTAAAGCACATCAGTTGTCCGCTATCATCACAAAAGCACTTGAGTTAGACCTGGCTGATACGAAGAAATACATCAGTCAGGGAAACAAAGATATCACAGATACGATACAGGATGTAGCAGCTAAACGGCAATCATCGTTAAGACGGGGGAGCGGTTTTATCCCCACGACCCACCTGACGGAACCGGTTCTGATATCCCATCGGCTTTTTCTTCCCCTCCCCCGCTGAATCAACCAATAGCGACGGTTAAGAACCGAACTTCTTGTGACTCCCCCTCTCCGGCCGTAACGAACCTACATCTGGCGCAGATGATCCATACCGCCACCACCAAACAATCCGAATGGATGAGTAACTTGATCCAAATGYAGGCAGCTCACATGGAGCGGATGGAACAGATAATGAGCAGGCTAATCAAGCCTACCCCAGTTCCTGCTCGACCTGCCCCCGYGTCCTTTCCACTCTTACCTGCCCCTCCTGCACCTGGGTASGCACCTCAGTTCCCTCACCAGGCTAATCCAGCCGGGAAGGTCGAGTGTTTTAACYGCAAACAGCCTRGACACTTCGCCCGGGACTGTCCGCAGCCGAAACGTAATCAAACCCCTCCAGCTGTGGCCCCCGTAGCACTGAGCCAAGGACGAGTGGCCGCATTAATGGATACGGCCCAAAGCGGGGAACTTGTGGCATATGCCCCCGAGCAGCCCTCCCCCTCGATGGCAACGGCGTCGACCTCGGGAGCTTCTTCCTCTGACGCTGCTGACATGGTCGATCCACTTGAGTACCTTCACCTAGCAGGCATGATCGGAGCAATCCGATCGGCCTATGATGATCTCGAATGGGTCGATCGCGAATCTAATGCCGGCCCACAGTTTCGGACGGGGGAAATTGATGTGTTATGAGCGCTCAAGCAATTGGATATCCGTGTTCCGATCCCGGTGGGACATCTGCTCACCATATCTGAAGCGGCAAACAATAAACTTTTGCAGCATTGCCAGAAAAATCAAAAGCGCTTTACCCATCAGCACATACAGCAAATGTTGAAGAAGAAGGAAGGAGGCGAGGACGCTGCACCTTCTGAGCCTGAAACCGGGGAACCTGAACCTGAAGTAGCGCGAGTAGCTGCGATTTCGTTAGCAGAAAAATATCACTTTGTACGAGCTCGTCCAGTGTTGTGGAAAAGCGCGGAATGTGATTGTGAAGTTTGGGGCAAACCGTTTAACGCCCTTATTGATACAGGGTCGTTCGCAGTAGCCATATCATTAGAAACCGTCAGAAAGACGGGACGACTCGGATCCATTCTTCCTCAATCCGGCAAAGACCATTATGTCTCTTCTGACGAGGAAGCAATGAACATTGTGGGCATTATTGAGAACGTGGTTGTAAAGGGCGGACGAGTACATGTTCTCGTTAATGTGCTTGTGATAGATGTGCGCTCCTATTTTGTGCTATTAGGATTACCTTGGGCAATGGCAGTGGGTGACCGTTTGCATTTTGACTCAAAGCAACTAGTTCTCACGCAAACTGGGGGAAAGCCTCAAACTGTTCCCTTGCGGATTTCCACTCGAACGATAAAACGAATTTCCAACTCAGCCCAAATAGGGATGATTCGATGCCTTGATCCCGAGGAGTATTCTTCCTCGAACATCGGTAGCGGAATCAGGGAAAAAGAGTACGAAGAAGAGATGCCTAGTGAAGATGAATGGAAGCACCTGGTCGAACTTTTCGAGCATGAAACTCCTAAAGAATTTCGAGTGTGTCCCAACACTGCCCGAAGCTTCCACGTGGATTCAGGAGATAGCGCGATTGCGCCTCCAAAAACCCAGATCAGCCCTTCAGTCCTCCTCGGGGAACCCATATCACAAGTATCTGACCTGACCGATGATTTGGAACCCCCTCGCACCTTATACGAGGGAGCGCCTTCCTTACGAACGCGTTATCAGCAAATGGAACAATACTTAGATGTTTTTGTTTTCCCGCCCAGACCGCTACTAACGACGGGGGCGGCCATCACTCTGATTAAACAAGAAGCGGAAGCACCGATAGGTGACGTACCTGATCTGATGCAGGAGATGACGGATCTCACTGGACTAACTGTGGAAAAAGCTTAAGGCCGATTCTGAGACTGATGTCGAAGCGAAGGAAACCGAAATGATCAACCCTGCCGAGTCACAAATGATTGCAACTGTTTTCCCTGTTCGCACCAATAGCTCTGTTTTCTCCAGCGCCCATGATCGACAAGAACGGCCGGGTGATTGGATCGACATCCCCGTTCAGATTTCGGGGCAATCGACAATCACTCCGCTGAGCCACATCCCCACAAAATTCCGAAATTCGTTAATTGATGTGTTGAATGGTTACGTGGAAGTATTGAGTGTACACGATAATGATATTGGCCTAACTAACGTAATTGAACATGCCATTCTCACAGGGGATCATCCACCCATTAGYTGCGTTCCTTACCGATACTCACCAGCTCAACGAGCRGCCGYTTTTCAGCGGATCAAGGAGTTCGAAGCTAATGGATGGATTGAACCTGCTATAGGTCCATGGTCTTTTCCCGTAGTAATTGTACCTAAAAAGGCCGGAGGGATTCACATTTGCATTGATTACCTGAAAGTTGATATAACGATCAAAGATGTCTACCCCCTCCCCCGGATTGATGAGTTGTTGGATGCGATCGGGAGTGCTCGATTTTTCAGTAAGTTTGATGTTCGTCATGGGTTCCATCATCTTCTTGTCCGAGAAGAAGATCGCCCGAAGACTGCGTTTGTGCTCTTCGAAGGTACGTGGCAGTGGATTCGATGTCCGATGGGTATCTGCAACGCTCCCGCGACCTTTCAGCGAGCCATGAATATGGTTTTTCATAATTTCGTGCGGAAAACTCGTTTGGCGCAGAGCATCATTAACTACTGTGTGATTGTGTACATGGATGATATTCTCGTGTATTCAAGTTCCTACGAGGGACACGTGCAACACATCGAATGGGCACTACATGCGTTACGAGATGCTGGCTTCAAGGTGGTGTTCGAGAAGTGCCAGTTCTTTCTTACCACCATTTCCTTTCTAGGACACGTGGTAACAGACCAGGGACTCAGACCGGAGCCGCAGAAGGTGGAAGCTATAAGAGATGCGCCGGTGCCGTCGACTATTACACAAGTTCGCACCTTTTTGGGCCTGGCCTTGTACTACCGAAGGTTTATCAAGGGTTTCGCGACGATTGCGGGACCCCTCACGAATCTGCTGCACAAAGATCAGTCGTTGATCAGGACGTCGGAGTGTGATCAAGCGTTTTCGAAACTCAAGGCCGCTCTCATTTCGGCCCCGGTCCTWATAAGACCGGATCCCGAAAAGCCTTTCATCCTCATTACTGACTGGCAGCCGAAGGCAATTTCGATGATCCTGGCCCAGGTGGGACCGAGCGGACTTGAGTGCGTGGTGGAATACGCGTCCAAATCGGTGCCCGCCTACAAGCACAACTACGCCGCTCCAACAGGAGAATGCTACGCGGCGCTCTGGGGAATCAGTCACTTTCGCGCTTACCTGTACGAGCGGAAGTTCACCTTGGTAACCGATCATGAGCCCCTGTTGGCTCTGAAGAAATCGAAGGATTACTCTGGTATGATCGGGCGATAGGCAACGGTGCTGCAGAACATGGACTTTGACATTCGTCAAGGGAAGCACGAGAGACACGGGAATGCGGACGGGCTGACACGGCTRCACCGACCTGAGAAAGTTCCGAAGAGTGAGGAAGTGATTCCGTGGAACGAACCAGACAAGGAAGTCGGACCTCGGTACGGTCAAGTGGAGATATTGTCGAAGGAGTAAGTGACACGAGGACCGATTTCTATCCTGCCCCCCCCCGGCAACTCAGTCCCATCTCTCTCTCTCTGTCATCATGACYASCCCCCCTRTCTCCGCAACCCCTTCTTCTCTTACTAATTCTGCCCCTCTCACCTCATCCGCTTTCTTTGCCACCCTCCCCGATAAATTCTGATATTTTTGTACGTGTATTGCACGGGTTTATGGGGTCGATTGTCATCCTTTCAAAACTGGGTTTGTCGATTGGGTAGAATGTGCCACGTGTGTCCATCGTGAGCACGGGGCTTGCGTTCGATATCGGACGAGTACCAAGGAATGGAGGTGCCCCCTGTGTAGAACGAACAAACTCCCCATGGAGGTTCGATTCGAGGCCGCCCGTACGGACGGCCCCGAATACGACTAAAATACCGACGAGCAAAGGTTTGGATGCATAAAATTTTATTGGCAAAATTAACGGGATTATCATTGGGTCACCTCACCAAACATGACAGACGTAGGGCAACCGAGAGATCTCGGGACTACCGGTGGATCAACGGTTTTCTGAAGAAGCGTAAAACTGACGGATCAGGTTCGTGGTTGACGGTTCCCCATCCATTCCAAAGATATGATTGGATCCAATCGGCTCACGAAGAACAGGCCGCTCATTTCGCGATACGAGATGATTTCAGATACATTGTCGCCAACTGTCTGGTCTGTGCCGCTGATCGCGCCCCAATACGGGGACCGAACACGATAGTACCAACGGAAGTAGAACGCCCTTTCCAGCAAGTCAGTATGGACACAACAGATATCGACGTGCCACCTGGCCCAAACCGCTGTGAATATTCTATCCTTTTMGTATTAATAGACCATTTTTCCAAGTACATCGAGGTCTATCCCTGTAAGACCCGAAAGGCCGCAGAAATAGCCACGTACATCGATCGGTTCCTCTATACCCATCTAGATACAGAATAAATTCTAACCGACAATGGGTCCGAGTTTAAGGGAGAAGTAGAGGAACTGCTCACGCGAAGGGGCGTCACGCTCCGACATACGGCACCCCACGTSTCTCAGTCGAACGGGCTGGCGGAAAACGCCAACTGTATGATTAAAATCGCCCTTCGCAGGAACTTAGCGGCGYGTGACACGCGTCCGTGGCCCGAGATCGTATATCAAATCGTCGGAATTCACCGGGCCACCCCTCATGAGTCCACGGGGTTCACCCTCTTTCAGCTTCGTACTAATAGCCTCCCTTGTGTCGATTACCGGGGTAACTCGAAAATTATCGAAGTAGGGGGTAGAGACACGCATGCAGCCCTCAAGGCCAAGGCCAAAAGGTACACCGATTTAATGGAATGGGCTGTCCCGAAGCTAGCCAGAAAAAGACAAAGGATGACCGATCTAGCCCAYGGAAGGCAGGTCCGAAGCTACGAGGCCCGAAACGGAAATGCTGGGCCCCAACATCAATATAAATTAGGGGACCTAGTGCAGGTGCGTAAATGTGCACGCGACCGGAAACTCGCTCCCAAGTTCTCTGGCTGTTTTCGCGTTGTCGAGCTCAGCCCAAACGGCGCAAGCACGGTGCGCATAGCCCCCGAAGCGAGTGCCAGCCATAGCTCTGTCCCGATCGTCCGTCATACCTCCTACCTTCGTCCTCCTCCTCCCTCCGATCTTCCCCCCTCTCCCTCGTCCGAAAGCAAGGAGAACGACGACGATCTAACGCTCTCTCCACTCTCTCCCTCCTGCCCTTCGTCTTCCTCCCCGTCCTCACCATGAGCTTCATCACGGAGCGGACGCTGTTGCAATCACGTGGCCCCATCTCGAAAATTTGGCAAGTTCGTCATCCACGGCTTAGTACGGATCTTCGGCGTCTGGCGCAGTTCTTCTGCGACGTGGGTGGGTGTGCCGCTGCCGCGTTTCGATTCGAGGCAGTCCGCAGGCAGTGGTATTGGCAGAAGTAATAGCAGTTCATCGGCGAGCGGCTCCCGGAACGAGCCACGTCACCACGATTGCGGCGTTCAGCGGTGACATCAGTACGGTCAATCCCCGACGGCATATCACGATCTTGGCCTCGCTGCGAGAGTGGACGGAGCAGGTGTCCAACGTGTGGCAGCACGGACTTGCCCGACTAGGGCACAATCTCATTCCGACCTTTGCTCTGGAGCTTGGCGAGATCCGCCGCTCCCCGTGCAAGCCGGTGATTGTGATTTCCCCCCTCGTCCCTTTTCCACGCCCCCAACGAACCACGCCGTTCCTCTCGCCCCTCTCTCCATCTTTGGTCTCCCCTTTCTTTTCCCCACCTTCTGGCAGTCTGATCTTCACCCGTCTCTTTTCTTCTCATTCGATCCCCTTTCCGTCCCGCTTCTTAATCCTGGGCATTGGCGACTTTGGCGCGACACCTTTATCGAACTGTCCCTGTGTCTAACTCGAGTACAGGTGACGTGGACGCAGACCAGCGAGCATCCTGCATGGATCGAAATTTTGGAGCTGCTGATCATACAAGCTTGGAAGACCAACGGAGAGGGCGATCTTCTCGACTTTCTTTTTGGATCGGTCCGGCCGGGCCGCCGCCAGTTGATTGCGCAGGAGCTCATCGCGCCGATCGTCCAATTAGCGGACGATCTCTCGTCCGACATCGTCTTGCAAAGTGACGACAGCCCTGCCCCGCACGTCATCACACGGTCATTGGACCCGTACCTTCAGTGGAGTGCGTGCTTGGAGGAACCTGGGGACGAAGATACGTTACCGTCACGACAGGAGTATCTGCAGTCGTACGGTATCATTGATCGCGTGTTTTATCCGAGAGAGGAGGTGGTGGTGATTGACGACGACGAGGAAGACGACGACGAGGAAACATCGGTAGAAGGAAGCTATAGCGAGTATAGTGAGGGAGAGCAGGRAGAAGAAGAAGAGGAGGGAGAAGAAACCGGATCTGAGTGGGAAGCCCTGCCAGAGGAAGCAACGCGTACGGGCACGGAGGCGGAAGATCCTGAGGCGGCGCGCAGGCGAGAAGAGATCGCCACCGGAAACGCCAGCTAGAATTCGCCAGCGGAGCAAGCCTGCGCATCGGGAACGATCCAACCAGGGATCTGGAACCACCGAAGCCAGAAGATGGCGACTCAGCAGCCGCCACCCCAAGTGCCGCGCGACGGAGATGGAGTCGATCCCCCTCTTCCTCCAGCCCCACCCGTCCCCCAGTTCGCCCACGTACCGATGCGGCCGATAGGTCTTCGTCCTCGGACGTTATCCCGCTGTCCCCTTGATTTTCTCACCCTCGAACAGATCCGCACCCCCGTCGCCTTCCCCCGCCACCCCTCCCTTCCCCATCTCTTCCGCGATTTYTACTCTACCCGTCTACTCGCTACCGTCTATCCCCACCCATCCCTTCAACCCGCTGCCCCCACATTYTGCTGGCATATCCTGTTGTTCAGTGCCGCGTGGGAGCGATGCAACGTAGTAGAAGTCTACTGCGTAGCCACGGGGACAATCCCCGCCCGTCGCCACTACGACTTCTTTCGCGCAGCGCTCCTCCGCACCCTCTCCTCCTTCTACCGCAAACTCTCCTCCATGTACCGCCTTTACTGGCCCATTCCAACTAGGTGGTAGAACCCAATAGTAGGACTACCCCYCCCCCCCCCCCTTTTTTTCTTCACTTTTCTCTTCACTTACTTGGCAGGGGAAAGGCGACACGAATCAGTAAGTTTTGCGAAGATCACGCTATGGACGATGACGTCAACTTACGCTCTGATTCAACGGGTCGCGACAAGATGGGGTGCAGAGCACACGGAGAACCAGCGGACGATGATGGCGTCACCTRGACGACATCCGACGATTCCAGCAGCACGAGCCAGCCGACTCACAAAGAGATTGCAATTGAAGTCGGCATCAACCTGGATGCTGGCTCTCCCCTCCTCCGCCATGGCATGCAATCAGGAGATCGCATAATTTTGGAACCCCCTGCACGTAACATATGTGACGAGCTACTTCCCGAACCCGTGCTATCTTTCGTACCCCTTTTTGCCTGAATTTTCCCTKTATCATACCAACCCCATGAAAACSCCCGTTTCGTCTTYTTGATTTCGGGCGCAGTAATTTGGGCCCCCATCTTGTGGAAGCTTTTTTTTTGCGATTCTCRGGTTCTGCCTTTTTCGTTTTTGCAATTCAAGAAATGCATGGGATATTACGAGCGCCTTAGCGAGCGCACTGGGAATTGGGCCCGACAGTTGGGAATTCCGGGATGAGCGRAACATCGGCGTGYCCTTTTTGTGTGTGAATGTTCTTGGTCGCGTCGGGGAAAACTCTCGGAATTTTGTGGGAATACGAATAGGCTTAGGACTTTCTTTTCCCGCGTCGCCCTTTCGCGCGCGGATATGGTGATTTCAATTTTGAATTGGTTTCAGACATAGGCAAGCTGTAACTGTTTCGGTGCCTTTTCTTTTTTTTTGTTGACGACCCCCCACATGCAAAGCTTTCTCCTCTCTGTCCCCCGCATCGTTCCCTCCCGCGCTCCTTTCTCCTTCCCCCTCCCTCTTCGTCCCTCCCCGTAACTGTTTTTCTCCCTCTCTCTCCCTCTCTCCCGCTCTGCTTTCTGCGCGCCCATTTCCCTTTCTTGATCATCTGAATCTTGGACTTGTCTTGCACTACCTCTCGCGCCTTTTCTCTTCTCAACCCCTGAATACCGCGCACGAAGCCTGGCCGATCCTTCGATAACTCCCGCTCGCCAATCGGACGCGTAGAACAATAGGATCTTCCTATTGCGCGATGAATCTGATTGGTTGAAAGTTACGGGGGATCGAACATGGCTTCCTCGTCGTGATCTTCTCGAAGTCTTCTCCTCCTGCTTCTACTCCTCAACTTCCCCTTCGCCTTCTCCCTCTTCCATCCCCCTTCTCGCAACTATAAAATCCGCAAGCGCGCCCGCAAAACTCTCTTACGTTCTCGACTCCCAAGCCAGCTTCCGGGAAGCGGTGGCTAGGTAGAGTGTTTGATGCGAGTYRGAAAGTCCTGTCGSGCTGACGACGGACTGGCCGGTTGCGCGCTGGATCRCCACGACGGACTGTGGGGTCTGGGYGAGCYGCGTCGAGTTTGCGTCGAYGGGGTGACGATCGCAGYGGTGGGAGTTAGCACGYGGCGGCCGGGATCGTCGGTGCGGGTATGAGGATCGCTGATTGGAGTTGAGTGGTGATTGGCCTGGGGCCATATTGGAATTCACGGCGAATGCGCCTTTGTTGTTGCCGATTTTTGGTGTGAGTGTATGGCGACGACGCCGAACTTCCTCCTTCAAGATCTTGTTGTCCTCTATTCCTCCCTCATCTCTCTCTCCCTCTTCTATATCTTTGAAAAACAATGTGCCTTGATGTCTCATCTCTCTCCCTCTCTCCTCTCATGAATGGGAATGAATCTGTGTGCTTTTCTGGGCGAAAGAACTTCTTCCGGAACTCTTCCATTAGTTTCCTGGGTAATCCCCAAAAGTAAGGGTTCCAGTCTTTATGTCTTGTGAACTGTGGATGCGTGTGTACTATTTCCTGATCCATCTTTGATTTCGGCGCCTATGCCATTTTCGCACCTTCCACAATGAATGCAAGGATTGTGCCCTGATTTGATTTCGGTAGGACTTTGTTCGAGAATGCAAGAGTGCTTAGATCCATAGTACTAGATACATTGCGCATGCCATCTGCCTTATGCTGCATGACATCAGCATCTGGACATCAGAATAGCCCAGGGAAAACAAGCCCCCGCCCCCCCCCGAAGCTCCGCATCGGAGTTGCGAATCGGATATTGGGATGAATGCACGGCCCGGACAGTTGGATAGGCTTTTTCTTCGCCCTGATCAAGAAAACTGATCAGAGTTCGTGTTTGTGTTTCCTTTTTGATGACGTCTTGGAATATTTACGATTGACTAACATGTGGACTGACGAACGCCCTTCGATCGGGCGCTAGACTCCCGTACCTCCCACATCAACGCGGCGTACGAGAAGTTGTTGCGCGAATCGGTGGACGATATTATTTTCCTTCGGAAAATCGTTATTCGGGGTTCGTGGAGGCCGGGTTTGTAATTATCGATACGCATTTTCCTCCTTACTCCGTATTGTTGCCATTCAATGAGTTGATCGTTATTCCGTGGACGGCAGTAGAACCCCACTAGCCTCGCACTTTGTGTACCGAGTGCCAGCGCCTCGAGCGCTACGAATCCAGGGGCTTCCACTACTGTGTGCGGAGTGAAGACGAACATAGAGAAAGAGCCACCCGACGGCGACCCTCCACGTCGGACTCAGAACTAACTAGTGGGCGACGTTGGGACTCGATACGAAAGCGAGACACGCGAAGAGTGCCGAAACCTTTTTGTTCCAAACGAAGGGCGGTAGCACGGTGGCATGTCCGTCAGTATTTTCTGGATTGAATTTGTATTCCTATCTCCTCTCTCGCCGAACCCGCGCACGCTTTTCGCGACGCACGAAAAGAAAAACGATCGACTTACTTCATCAGACCAGCACGGGGGATTTCAGTTCCGTCTGTGTCCCCACACTCAATTTCCAAAAATCCTTGGCACACCCCATCTTTCTGTTTTTCTAGGCCTTTTTCGCACCTTTAGCACTCCGAACGAAAGACAGCGCAGGGCGTGAGGTTGCGCGTCACAGCGTCGCGGTCGCAAGGGTGGGGGAGGAGGGGGAGGCGGGATTGAGGAAGAAAGAGAGGGTGGGACTGGGGAAGGAGAGGGAGGGGAGGGGGAATCGGGATCGGAGCGTCGCGATCGCAA